AACTACAAAATAAGGATAATACCTGATTCATTTAGTACATCCATCTAGTATATTCATATAGTAAATATGGATATGATTGGTAAACTGTAAAACACTAGCACACATGTTATCATTATATAAGATAAGCCACTGTTTAACAAACCAATCTTATTTACCTTTTACAAAACTGTTAGTAAAACACACCCAGAATTAAACCTCAAAAATTACCCTGGATACTTAATATTTTCTGACAATAGGAGAGAAAAAAAAACCCAAAAAATTGACTCCATCAGATTTGTTTTTCATAAGCATATCAATATCACAATAATAACAGACATTTCTGAGAAGATAAGTATCAATAAATAATAAACATGAACTTTAAAATAAATCTAAATTAAACTACTTACAGGTATTTAAGCTGCATTCGAGGAAATGAAGAGGTCTTGATTTCTGATATTATATTTGAACTGAGATCTAAATTCTCGAGAGCAGGGTAAAACTGAAACGCTTCTGCATTTATTTCTGGGATTATGTTATGGACTCTATTAAAAAAAAAAAGATTGTAATGAAGCTATTGCCAGAGACCCACCCCAGGCCATGAGGATGTTAAACAGTTAGGATCAACAATAAGGGTACTGAAAACAAAAAATTTTTTAAACTGTACTATTCATAATTTAAAAGATCTGAAATCTGATTTACTTACAATGAGAGCAGAGTAATATTAGAGGTGGGTTCTCCAAAATATGGGATTTCTGTTAGCTCATTATAATTCATTTTCCTAGGCAAAGGGGAAAAACAGATTTAGAAGGGGAAATGTTGCCTCTTGAGTTCTGGTTTCTGGACGATAATTATTTTTTAGGATCAGTGCCAAATTTGAAAAAGGCAGATGACTCAGAATCAGACTAAATGCATTATACTGAGAAATTGAAGATTTTAATAAGAAATGTTTTTTCATAATGTAGATTTATGATTGACATCACTATTTTGCACACCAAGTATTTTTAATCCCAGCAAGGTTCTAGAAGTTACTTTTCTGACAGCTAATACCAGTCCTTCTTAAAGAATTAACCTACCCATATCTCTTTATACATTTATAGTAAATAAGATTAAGAAATTATAAATTAAGTGAATTTTTAAAACATACACACATTTTTTAAGTTACTCAAAGTTAGAGAGGGTTGCTTGAGTCCACAAATGAATCTGCCCAAGAGATGGAGCCTATGATTAATTTTACAGATGACATGACATGTCACCATCTGATCTTAGCAGCTCTTTAAACATAATGTCTCCAATGTTTTACTAGCAAATCCAACATAATCACATTTCATTAACCTGGTTTTCAATCACTGAACAACCTCAATTACCTAGACTACAGAAAAGAAACCAGAAGTAAAAGGCCTCCAAGAAACCAGCCGAAGTTACAAAGTCCATGTCATAAAGCTCATGCATTTCCCACTGAAGCATTTTTCAGGACTTTCTTCAGTACCTAGTCTTTAAGCCAAATAAGCTTGTCAATTGTTTATTCAGTGCAAAGCAGATCAAAACCATTCAATTTGGAGCAGAGACAGAGGGAATTCAAGGACAATGAGCGCATGAAGAAGTTAACCCCATCAGCAAGAAATCAAAAAAGAAAAATAAGTCCAAAGGTTCTGCATTTTAGCAAAACGGCTCAATACTTGTGCTTCTGGAAACATCACAATGCAATAACTGATATTAATAGTATTTCAGAAAATTTCCTCCAAAAAATACATAATAATACATCTCAGTATTAAAGGAAAAACTTTAGTGAAGTGGAAAATTGAACTGTATTAACCACCACACTACAGACAATACAAAAATACTCTATTTCAGGTAACTCATTTTTTTAAGTAGGTTCCATGCTGGGGCTAGATAATGATAATTACCTGAGATCAAAAGTCAAGACGCTTAACCAACTTGAGCCGCCCAGGCACCCCCACGTAACTCTACTTTAGATATGATGCTTGTATCTCAAGACAAGTCAAGACATGAAAAAGTTTAAACAACAGAGAACTTCACTGGCTGAAACCAGCAAGAAACATGCAAAATATATTTATTCTGAAAAGGGGGGGGAAATCTTAAATTTTGGCCCCAAGAAAGTAGATAGAATAATATTTCTACACAGTTTGCAACTAATCACCAACCTAATAGTGCAACGCCCAGAGAGCCTGTAATGGTAGCAAAGCCAAAGACAAGTTTAGATTAAAAAATGTCTTTTAAATTTTTTCCGTCAATTTCAGACAGCATTTCTGATTGAACATCCTCAAATTCATAATACATCAAATCCACCTCTAAGAGTTTAATTTAAATTTAAACAAATAAAAGTAACTTACACTTCTTGTAAGGTTTGAGATTCCAAACTGATGTTCCAGTTAGACAATCGATTATGACTCAGATCCCTAATGGAGGACAAAAGATCATTCTTAGTTCAGTGTTGGAAAAGAGACTTAACGGGGAAAAAAAACTAAACTAAACTAAACTAAAACGTAATCTAAAAGCCCCATCGAATGTGAATTTGAGTAGTACACACAAAAAGAAATGTTTATAAAGAATAAATATCTAGATTTCAAAACAGCTATTTTACTTTTTCTTCATTTTTATGAGGTCTTTTTTAAAAACTAACTGGGGAATACAGTCACATGATTCAATAATCAAAAAGTGTAAAAGGAAATACAGTTAAGTCTCCCACCCTGTCACCAGCCATTATGATTTCTATCCCCAACAGCAACAAATGAAAATATACCATTTCTTGAGCAGCCTGCCAGATATTTTATGCACGCACCAGCAAATTTTTACAAAAATGGTAGAGTAATTTATGCACTAATTTGCCTTAGTCTTTTCACTTAACAATACATCTGGTAGACCATTCCACAGCAATATTATAAGGTTCTTTCATCCTTTTTGTGATTATCTTCTACTTTTATTGTAATGAACTACACTTTATATATTTTTGAAAGAAAATACACTTTTTAAAGTAACATATTGTATAATTTAAAGTACTGTATGTACTTTAAAGTATTTACATATTATAAAATAATATTGTAATGTACTGCATTATACTTTAGCATAATTGATTTCGCAAGTCAAGATAATGAGCTTCTATATTAGAACTAAAGTTGACCATATCCTTAATAGAGATACAGTCTTCCTATAAAAAGCAATCCAGCTCCGGGGAAGAGAAATCCATCTCCAAAATTATGTTAATGATGATGATTGGTGGTAGTGGTGGTGGCTAACATTCATTAAGCATCAAGCACTCCTCTATGCACTTTATACATACACGTTAACTGCCTAAATCCACCCAACAACCTTACGAGGCAAATACTTTCACAATCCTTGCTTGCCTAAGACAGAAACAGGCAGAGAGCAATAATCTGTCAATCCAAGGCCATACAGCTAATAAGTGAGGAAGCCATAAACTTGAAAATCCATCTCACTTTTGGCAAGTAAGTTTGTTAGATATAGCAGAGATTTCACTGGAATTAGTCATGAGTCTAAATATTTAAATAGGCTTTTTAAAAATTCACCTTGATGCTTCCTGGCATCTTTACAAGGCTGAAGTGGAATCCAGCCCACACAAGCTGTCTGCCCAAGAGATGTATTATACATTACAATATGGCTAGCAATAGGGATACACTAGAGAAACATTACAGATCACTTTATCTCACTGTGCCACCACAGGCAGTTGACAGATGCACACAGGTCTGAATGATGTCTCTATCACCGCAGAACAATTTGTTCTCAGCTAGATTCATTTCTGTCCATCTGTAAAATTTAGCCACGTTCATTTAGAAGCTTAATTTACACCATAAGATAATTAAGGCTAGATGAAACCCTTTTCCGCAACAGTTCTAACACCTTTATTCTAAGATACCTGGCACCAGATATCAGCTCAAGGACACTCATGACTAGGGGGGTATGTGCTGGCAAATGCTAGAGATAAAAATAGGAATTTACTCCTCATAAAAATCTTATATTCAGATACTTTCATCCAACTCACAGTTGCTACTAAACAACACTGGATTTTATACAAGTGAAAAGATATTTTTTGTGGCATGTCAACTAAAGAAGAAATTCAGCTCTTCTAATTTAAGTTAGATAGTCCACATTCTGCTCTAAGGTGGCTGGTCCGGCAACTATCACCTGTGTCGCAGGCTAGCCCAGTATGATTTAATTCCATATCTGATGCTTGCTAAAATTTATTTTCCCCCCTTTTACAGATTAAGAGCTTTCATTTTAATCGTAACAGTGCTTCTAATGCCTTCCCAAACCCTAATCTCTCTGCCAATGTAACTGTTGACTATACTCATTTCCTACAGTTCTCTCATGGATGTCAATGACCAGATAATTACTTTTTTTTTTTTTTTAAGATTTTATTTATTTATTTTACACAGAGAGAGAGAGATCACAAGCAGGCAGAGAGGCAGGCAGAGGAGAGGGGAAAGCAGACTCCCGCTAAGCAAAGAGCCCAACACAGGGCTCGATCCCAGGACCCCAAGACCATGACCTGAGCCAAAGACAGAGGCTTAACCCTCTGAGCCACCCAGGCACACCCCCCCCCTTTTTTTAAAGCAATAATCACTTTTAAAGAAAACTATCATTAAAGAAATCTAAAACAAGTTAACCCAACTCACACATGGTATAAGCTACTTTGTATTAAGTATCAGTGAAAACTGTCCAGTGTCTCTACTGGGGGGAAGGAGTGATTTTCTCTATCTCTTTGAAGAACTTCTAAAGGCTTTTTGATGGAACTCAAAGGATACCAGAAATACTTTGGAGCCTCTCTACAGGATAATGCTGTCTTAAGAATATATGCCTCAGATGCTGCAAGCCCAATCTCGTGCTGCTCACAAGCGGTGTCAACGTTAGAGATCAGACTGTCTGGGCTCATGAAAGATCAACAGGCTTTGGCTAGAGATTTACTATACCCGTCCTTGGAAAAGGAAAAGGAAAAGGAAAAGGAAAAGGGGAAAAAAAAAAAAAAAAAACATAAAAAGAAACAGCTAGTTCAAAGCCCACATTCCTATTTTATGGATGTAAAAGGTCCAGGTTGCTACAAGATTACCAAGATTACCACGGTTTTCAACCATGCTCAGATGGTCTTTATTTGTGGGGGCTGTTCAACAGTGTTGCTGTGCAAGCCAACAGAAGGAAAGGCCAGACTCACAGGGTGTTCTTCACTTAGAAGAAAGCAACACTAGCGATCCACACAACCTCCTGAACTTGTGTTATATGGCAGAAAGCCTAATCAGTCCAGTAATTCCAGTTATCTACCAAAATAATGTAATTATGTTTAATTTTGTAAGGTACACAATGGTTCTATTTTGGTCTCTTTTTTTTTTTTTAGGATTTTATTTATTTATTTGACAGTGAGAGAGGGGACACAAATAGAGGGTGTGGGAGAGAGAGAAGCAGGCTCCCTGCACAGCAAGGAGTCAGATGTGGGGCTCGATCCCAGCACCCTGGGATCATGACCTGAGCAGAAGGCAAACACTTAACAACTAAGCCACCCAGGCACCCCTTGTCTATTTTTCAATAAAGTTTTGGTTATGGATGGATTAAAAAAAAAAAAACAACTATATGCCTCAGAGGTCAGAACTCCATAATGAGGCTCTCTGGACCCTTCTGTGACAAATCTGCATTAGGTGGGATTTTAAAACACTAACAGTGAACTAAAATACACTCCCAAAGAAGTACTATCACAGAAAGCAACCATAGTAGTTCCCCCACTCCCCATTATCCGCAGTATGGCTTTCCATGGTTTCAGTTGCTCACAACTGTGCTCTGGAGCAGAAGACCCTAACGCTAGCTCACAATGCCTACATCACTCACTTTATTTCATCTCAATACATGGGCATTTTATCATTCCACATCATCACAAGAAGGGTGAGTACAATAAGGTGTTTTGAAAGATCACGTTCATATAACTATTATAGTATATGGTTAGAATTTTTTTTATTATTGCTGTTAATGTTTTATATGGTGCCTAATTTATATATTAAACTTTATCATAGGTATATATAAGAAAAAACAGAGTATATAGGGTTCAGTGCTATCTACAGGTTCAGGCATCCACTGGGAGTCTCAGAATGTATCTCCCGTGAATATGGGGGAAGGGAGACTACTACAGTATAAATCTGTATAGCTGTTTGAGTTATCAAAATTCCAGGTGTTGGGGCGCCTGGGTGGATCAGTCAGTTGTTTCTCCCTCTCCGACTTTCCCTGCTTGTGTTACCTCTCTCGCTTTTCCTCTGTCAAATAAATAAAATCTTAAAAAAAAAAAAAAACACACACAAAACCAGGTGTCTAAAATTATTTGGATTGATCTGATCATCAGGTATTCATGCAATAAAATTTACTGAACCATGTGCCAGGCACTGTGCTAAGTACTAGGGTTACAAACTATCAACTATAGTAACCTTTTTGTCTTTTTTTTTTTTTAAAGATTTATTTATTTATTTATTTGACAGAGAGAGATCACAAGTAGACAGAGAGGCAGGCAGAGAGAGAGAGGGAAGCAGGCTCCCTGCCGAGCAGAGAGCCCGATGCGGGACTCGATCCCAGGAACCTGAGATCATGACCCGAGCCGAAGGCAGCGGCTTAACCCACTGAGCCACCCAGGCGCCCCCCTTTTTGTCTTTTTTGAAAGCAGCATTTACAATACTCAGGTGGCATCACTGGAAAACTAAAGATAGACTGAACATCAACTCAACCATTCCCCTCCTTCCCTAGTAATGTATGCATTCTTTCATACCTAAATCTCCCTCTGGAATTTAATCACAACATGCGCATATGAGAGTGCACAGACATATCCTTGCTTTCCATAACCATGCTCTTCCTGTTTCTTTTTTTAAAGTACTTCAAGGGGCTCCTGGGTGGCTCAATCGGTTAAGCATTTGTCTTCAGCTCAGGTTGTGATCTCGGGGTCCTAGGACTGAGCCCCGCATCAGGCTCCCTGCTCAGCAGGGAGCCTGCTTCTCCCTCTCCCATTGCTGCTGGGATCCCCTTCTTGTGCTCTCACATGTGCTAACAAACAAAATCTTTAAAAAATAAATAATAAAAAATAAAGTACTTCAAAAAGGCTGAAGAAGACTAAAATTGGAAGATTTCGATTATGAGATGTAAAACTCTTAAGGATTAAGAATTTGGAGGGGTGTTTGGATGGCTCAGTTGGTTCAAGGGCTGCCCTCAGCTCAGGTCATGATCCCGGAGTTCTGGGATGGAGCTCCATAGCAGGCTCCTTGCTCAATGGGAAGCCTGCTTCTCCCTCTGCCTCTGCGGCTCCCCCTGTTTGTGTTTTCACTCTCTCTCCTACTTGCTGTCAAATAAACAAAGTCTCTCACCATTCTTCCCCGGTGCAAATCATTAATCCATTTAGTTTGCATAAGTTAATACAGGCTTGTCAGGGTTGTTTTTTGTTTTTAAGCAGAAGTACTGAAATAGAGAACTGTCCTTCAAATATTTTCACTCTGAATATCCCTAAAATGTACTTAAAAACTTTAAGTAGGGGCACCTGGGTGGCTCAGTCACTAAGCGTCTGCCTTCTGCTCCAGTCATGGTCCCAGGGTCCTGGGCTCAAGCCCCACATCGGGCTCCCTGCTCAGCAGGAAGCCTGTTTCTCCCTCTTCCACTCCCCCTGCTTGTATTCCCTCTCTCTGTGTGTGTCTCTCTGTCAGAAAAAAGAAAAGAAAAAAAAAAAAAAAAAAAAAAAGAACTTCAAGTAATCTAATGCTTGATAAAACCTAAAGAGTCTAGCTTTGTAATAGTCAATAATTTTTTTTCTTTTTTTCTTTCCTTTATTTTTAAACATCACTAATATCTGAATATTTATGGATATAATGCTTAGAGAGTAAAGATCTCAGAGAATGCCTTATCTCAATGTTGTAAACTCAGCTCCCACTCATGCTAATTTACAGGGATGTAACTGTAATAAGTAATCAATTATTAAAGTTCTTGATATCATGTGGAGCCAGAGGTGCCATTAATGTAGTCGTTTAGTACCATCAGGGTGTAAATAATTTATAGAATGTACAGAGCAATCACAACACTCAGAGGAAGGGAATCAAAATCTGCAAGCTAATTGCAAAAAAGTCCTACAGCAACAGAGATGCAGAGGTTTTCTTCTGCCCAGTCACATGTGTGCACTTCTTAAGTCCTCATCAATCTTTTTTGAGAATCTGCAGCACTAATAGACTATGCTGAGAATTTCAACAATACTTTACTGAGAAGGGCCCCCTTCTCGAGAATACATCATATCCAACAGTTTAGGTATGTCAATGCTGTACGTATTTATCCAGCATAATTTGCCCTTTTGTTTTGCTTTTAGAGAGAGAGAGAGCACACACGCATGCACGGTGGGGGGCCACAGAAGGTGAGAGAAATAATCTCCAGCACTGAGCATGGAGCCTGATGTGAGGCTTGATCCCACAATCAAGATCATGACCTGAGCCAAAATCAAGAGTTGGCCAGTTAACAGACTGAGCAACCCAGGCACCCAAGACAGGGATTTCTGTTCACAAAAGAAAGGTCAGGGGCCCCTGGGTGGCTCAGACGGCTACGTGGCCAACTCTTGATTTCGGTTCAGGTCATGATCTCGGCGTGGTGGGACAAAACCCCACACCAGTCTCCAGGCTCAGCGCAGGGTCTGCAGGAGAGTCTCTCTCTCACTCTCCCTTTGCCCCTCCCCCTGCCCAAATGCAGGCAAGGCAGGCAGGCAAGGCAGGCAGGCAAGGCAGGCGCTTGCGTGCGCGCACACACACACACTGTTCTCTAATAAATAAAATCTTAAAAAAAATTTAAAAAAGAAATCCCTGTCTTATTAAAGTGTATCTAGCATAATTTACTTTTTTAAAAATAATACTTGGGATTATCATTACAATGAGTTGTAATACTGTAATTTAAAGAAGTTGATGACCTTGAGTACTCCTGAAATATACTGAAGACAAGGATTCCAAAACAACTTTTTTTCTTTTTTAAAGATTTTATTTATTTGTCATAGAGAGAGAAAGAGAACAAGTGCACAAGCAGGCAGAGAGGCAGGCAGAGGCGGAGAGAGAAGCAGGCCCCCTGCCAAGCAAGGAGCCCGACACAGGCCTCAATCCCAGGACCCTGGGACCATGACCAAAGGCAACGGCTTAACTGACTGAGCCACCCAGGCATCCCCCAAAAGAACTCTTAAAATCCTGTCTTTTAAGTTTGATTTTCTTGTACCACTACCAGCTTTACACCAAAAGCTACCCTTCTTAGAACTGTCAGCAAAAATTTCACTACCTGAAATTTTTCTAATTTGCTTTTAAAAAAAAAAAAATTTATTTATTTGACAGAGATTACAAGTAGGTGGAGAGGCAGGCAGAGAGAGGCAGGAAGCAGGCTCCCCGCTGAGCAGAGAGCCCGATTCGAAGCTCGATCCCAGGACCCTGAGATCATGACCTGAGCCAAAGGCAGAGGCTTTAACCCACTAAGCCACCCAGGTACCCCCTAATTTGTTGCTTCTAATCAACCGCCATAAGTTAGGAAACCCCAGTGCTTGAACTGTCTGAAGTAGGAGTAAATGAGATCTGAGTAAGAGTCTGAGCAGCTCTTTTATGAAGAAATGCTTTGACTAGAGATACTAGGTAAATTATTTTTAGGATAAATGAGATTTTATCATAGCATGAAGCATAGTGTGATTCCAAATTAAGTCTTCTATCCTTCATTTACTCTATTTATTTGTAATACACCGTACAACACTTTTTATACTCCAAAAAGTTGGAGGTGGTAGGAAGATGGCAGCATTCATTTCAAGAATCAGAGGGAGGTTTTCTTTTCTTCCATTTTATTTCACTGGGTTCTTAAGAACTGAAACTACTGCTTCACTAGAAGGAATACAATGACAAAACAGGAAATACAAATTCTACAGTTATATATATTTTTTTAATTTAAATTCAATTAGCCAACATATAGTACATCATCGGTTTTTGATGTAGTGCTCAATGTACAGTTACATTTAAGGATAGTTTCCACATGACCAGTTTTGGGGCCTTGGGCAAAGCATCCAATGTCTCTAATCTTCAGTCTCTTCTAACGTTAAATAAGAACACTATACTGATCTCACTCAGCTGCTCAGGAGATTAAAGAATATATACCAAATGCTTAGCATACAAATGAGTAGGTATATAATAAGTTCTTACTGGACTGAAATAGAATGATGGTCAAGCACTGT